TGAACAGTTGACAGCAAATCAACTGGATAATCTCTTAGCTCAGGATTAAAAAAAATGTTCGTTGTTAAACACAGAATGAAAATACAAGTTGAAAAGATTAGCTTTGGCACTGTCCGTATAGGCATCACATGCTCCATATGAAATCTTAGATGGAGGTGGAGCTTGTTTGTAATTAGCCTTCAGCCAAGACCAGAACCTTTTAGGATCCTCACTGAGTTTAACAGAAATAGATGAAAGATATGATAAATATTTTTCTTTTGCCAAGTGTTTAAATATCCTACGAGCACTCCTAAAATCATCTTTATGAAATGGAGTATTCCATTCTTTCAATATTCTCCTTTTGTATTCTCCTTTTGTGTTCTTTAAGTTTCAATGCAGATCGCAAGGACTTATCAAACCAAGGGGGAAGATGTTTTTTAGGAGTGATCGTAGGAACATTATCCTTAATAGCAGCATGAACAACAGAGCAAAATGTGTCGAGAGCATCGTCAACATCAACATTCGATAATATATTATTCCATGAAATGTGGTTAAAAGTATTACTTAACTCAGACCAATCAGTTTTAGAAAAATTAAGGACATAAATTCAAGTTCAATACGAAGTGAATCATGATCGGACTTGAAAATATCATCGCCAACAGAAACCCTGCAATTACGGTAGGAATTATTACATAAAACAAGATCTAAACTATTTTTGCCCCTAGTTTAAAAAAAATTATGCTGAACAAAAGAAAAACTGTTTAAATAAGGTCTTTGAAGGAGATACTGATAACATTGCTATTCAAACATGTATGACCACCATCAGAATTCCACATGAAATCTGGCAAATTAAAATCGCCAATGAGCATTATATCGGAGGATGGTTCAAACTGATACAACTGAACTAGTGATCTATGGAGAAGTTCAAGATATTCACACTTGGAATTAGGTGGTCGATAGTACAATCCAATTATACATTTTTTAGTATTCGATGCCTTGAGTTCAATCCATGTAATTCATTGCCGGGTATATCATATTCAAATAATCTTCTAGAACGATATTTTTCAGTAACCAGGAACATCAATCACCCACCACGTTTATTGTTCTGACGATCCAAGCGATATAGAGCATAGTTGGGAAAGGCGAGTTCGGCGTCGTTCACATATTTGTTTAACCAGGTCTCGCAGAGTGCCACAATGTCATACTTGTCATTAACTAGATTCGCCATTAAAACTGACTTATAGTCATCCATTTTATTTTTGACACTGCGGACATTTTGATAATAGATAGCAAGGCAACGTCCATCTTCGGGACCCGGATTTAGTTCGATGTCGCCACTAAGCACAATTAATTCGCGTAGACAGGCCACATGATTTGAATAGTAAGGTACAGCTCGTCCACAGTTTCTTGTATTAAGCTTCAAAGAAGTAATAATGAGCGACTTTGTACTCACAAGTAAAAACTGGATACACCTTTAGGCCTGATCGAGGCCAAATCCTTGTCCATTTGTTAGCAGTAGCCATAGCTGGAATACACGTGTGTTCAGGGTTGAAAGTCACATGGCATCTAGTTGCAGTGGGCTGGGTAATGTAATAGTTGTGGCTAAGATTAACAACAGCAATTGGAGGACAGATATAGCAAAATTCACCAAAAAGGAGCTCTCTACATCTTCTAAGTGGGTTAAACAACGAAGTACCACAAAACAAATATAGATAAGTTATCAAAAATGCAGAAAATAAGGCCATTTTTTAAGGACACTGGCAGGAGACCACAAGATGTCGTAAATTGCGCCCTCAAAGTTTTCTATTATATCCAAATATTAATAACTACAAAGTTTCTGGGCGTAAATTTCCTTAATACGAATGAAGGGTTGCACAATCTCCGTGCCATACAAATTACAGCTCCAACTGACGTCTCAGTCGAGAAATACGTATATATATATACTAATACTAACTAAATCCTTTCCAAGCCACTGGGGCTCATAGGGCTGGAGCTTATCCCCAGTTTCTGTAGTGTGATGCGGATGAGAGTTGTACTCCCACTGGACAGGACACTAGTCCATCGCAGGTTAGTCCCCAGCAGATTGCTGGTACCCATTGATACAGCTGGGTGGACTGGAGCAATGTAGCTAAAGTGCCTTGTCCAAGGATACAGGCGAATCTGCACAGCGGAGTCTTGAAACCCCGACCTTAAGATTGGAAGTATCCAATGTAGTTGGCTCCACGTATGTCTCACAGAAATATATAATAAAAAGCAAATACGTAAAGAAATGATTGCATACGTTGACATAATAGAGACATAAAATTTATTCGAGACGAATATTTCAGATACGTCTGTGTCCTTCCTCAGCGTTATACGTATGACTGAAAAAATACAGATCAGATGAACTAAAAACTGTAAAATATAAGGCGAGATAAATTCTAAGATAAAAGGCACGCCATAGGAACAGAGAAGTAATAAACAGTCGGCAACATAAAAAACGTTGTCGGTAAAAGGCCTATGAAAATAATTGAGCGGAATAAACAAAATGTGTCGGCAAAGTAATCAGCGTGTACACTGTAATCAAAACAGCGACAGTGGGCTTAAATATATGATAAAGGTATATTAAAAGAAATATATAATATTGTTACAATATAAAACTATAATGCTAATTAAAGTAATATAATGATCATCATTCATAAACAGAAATAGAAATATTTATAAAAGGTAAACCATTTATATTATTTAGTGAAGGAATAACCACTTGTGAAACCTAGGTCTTTGTTAATAACAATCTTGTGTGTGTTAAGTTTCAGGATCCACTGAAGTTCAGCACAACGTCTATCAGTTAAAGATCTGAACCCTGAAGCAATTAAAACAAATTTCATATCAATAACAGAGTGGTCAGGAAGATTAAAATGTTGTGCAATCTTGACATCGAGAGGTCGCATGTTCGAGTCCCGCCAGAGGCATTTTATTACACAATTTCTTTATTCATTTATTTACAGGACTACATTCGTTGTGAGCTATGCTACAGGATGTATTATTATGTCCTTTATTCGAACACTGTATTTACTTTTCTTTGATGATTTATGTACAGTATATAATTTAACAGTGTTAACGGCTATCTTGATTTATATGTCCGTATATGCAATTATTTGTTTCTAGCCATACTTATTGTGTAATGGAATGTATCTGGTGGTATTTGAATCTGTTTAACCATGAAGCCTCCGTGGTCTAATAGTTATGATGCTCGCCTTGACAGCGAGAGGTCGCAGGTTCGAGTCCCGCCAGAGGCATTTTATTACACAATTTCTTTATTCATTTATTTACAGGACTACATTCGTTGAGAGCTATGCTACACGATGTATTATTATGTCCTTTATTCGAACACTGTATTTACCTTTCTTGATTTATATTTATATTGATGATTTATATATATATATATATACACGATCACGATAAACAGAAACATGTGTAAATGAATAATTTGAGATCACAATCAATTCTCTACAGTAAGTACAGTATGTACAGGGCATTGAAACATGTCAAGAGTCATAACGGCTTCCATTCATATTTTAGTAAAATAGATACATGAGTATTCCGAACAAATTGGTACCAAAATTAACTCTCTGCCACCAGTGGTTGTGGAGATAATAAGGACTCAATAACTATGACTTTTGAAACATGTCAAAGGTCAAAAACAGCATTTCCGGTCATTTTCTTACTAACTTTTCTATTAGATCAAATAGAAACATTAATGTTCCGAACATATTGACACCACAATTACCACCAGGGGTTGCAGAGATATAATGACCCTATTGCTATGACCTTGAAACATTTCAAAGGTTAGAAATGGCATTTCCGGTAATTTTTTTGCAACATGTTCCATAGAGCAAATAGAAACATGAATTTTCTAAACAAATAGGTACCAAAATTAACTCTACCACCAGTGGTTGCGCAGATATGACGACCCTCTAGCTATGATTTTTTTACCCTGACCTTTTGACCTTTCGCCACATTTACAAAATGTGTTACCAAGCCAAAAATTATTCTTGGACCGCCCTGAACCAATTTCTGAAGTTAAATTCCCTGGACCTCAAAGTGCATACAAAACATGGTCTGGCTACTAGGTAAGCATAAATACAAGAAGTAAATTGAAAAACACTTTAGTTTCAACACAATGGCAAAATGATTTTGGAAAAAGAACTTTTAAATATCGTTCAGTTAAATCATGGAATAATCTATCATCAGACTTTCGTAGCAATATTCAATTACTTTCCTTAGTATGTAGAATTCCATGTTACCAATATAATTTATCTTGGTAACATGTGTTACTGATATAATTTATCTCGGAAATGTCTTATTACGACTTTTTTCCATGTTGCCACAATAATTATTATGGAAACTCAGTAACTCGGAAGGTCACTTTAAAGCTTGTAATAAATTACCATTCCTTGCCTTGGTGCAACATATTTAATACATAGAACATTCTAGAATAAATTTTATTTGTCAAAAGAAACAGTGTAAACCACATTGGTAATTATAGGAACACATGACAACATGTAGAATCCAAGAGGCAATAAGCCTATTGGTTAATTATGATGTAAGGTAACCAATGAGGAACTTTGGCAATATAGAATGCTTTTGAATGCTCTGAAGTTGTACAGGTAGGGTTATAAAAGCTGACATTTTTTATCTTTCTGGAGCTTCTCTGAAACAATTTTATTTGAATGTTATTGTGTTGTTTTTTAAACTGGATTCTTGTTGGAGTTCATACAGAATTAAAGTTTATTTGAGAGTTGTGTTACAACATTGCGAACTGAGTTTATATTTTATATGTCAAAGAGGGATTCCTAGTCATTTCTTTACCACTCAGAAATATGTCAAGTACGAATTCATGACAAGCTCCATACTTATTTTAACAATCCGTTTTGAATTCAGTTTGCCATGCTTTAACTTGATATACCATTATTAAAGTACTACAGTACCCATATAATTCAACAATGTTAGTCATTTGTAATAGTGTGAATTGCTCTTACCTGATACTTTTCCACATATTGTGTCCATCGAGCTTTAGGTCATGAATTTCACCACCAGCAACACCTTCTACCAGAGTTGGGAACCAATCACTAACATGCATCAGACCATTGTACACACTTCCCTGTACTTTCTTTGGTACCAGAGGACCACTTATAAAGCCAACACCATGTATTCCACCTTCCCATAGTGAGTGTTTCCATCCTCGAAGTGGCCAGTTGTTACCACCCTGATGTATTTCTCCTCCATTATCTAACACATTTTTTGATAGATATATGTATAAAAAAACTTTAGCAAATGGGAAAATGTTTGTTACTTATAATGAAATAACATTATATTTAAAATGTCAATAAATTTTTAAAGTCACATTTTAAGTGGCACCATTCCCATTCAGATACTGTAAAAATATATAGTTCACCAATTTATATAATTTGAGAACTGATCTAGCATGATCGAGTACATAATCTCCTATTCCATAAATTATGAATCTCTGGCATGTTTGTTACGTAGATACTATCAACCAAATTTGTGATGACGAAGCAGCAGATGCATCGCTCTCTCCGAGTTTAGCAACAGACCATTGTAAATGCATAGGATTGTAATGCTTTGTACTTACTATCGTAGTATTCGTATTAAATATTATCGAATGGCCCAGGTAGACCAAGAAATAATTGCAGACCTACTGTAGATGAAGAGACACTAAAAACCGGAGAGTGTTTGGCCTTACCGCCTGTAGATTGAACAAGGCCTATGCAAAGAACAGATACAAACAAATGAAAAATGGGTATGCTGTAATGAGTTTCTTGGAAAATAGGCCTACCTTTATTAGATGAATTATACCGACTAATAATCTTACGACAGTAATTTTCTAAATTTAGGAACCCGTGGTACAGTATATCTCTTTCTAGCCTGAATTGTTCACTCACCAGTCGACATCTCTACAATGTTCAATTTAACACAACATCTGATTCTGGGTCTTATTCAAATAGGCCTACTATACGATTATTTCTTCTATATCTACAAGAGCCATTTTATTTCAGTACAAAAAGAAGGATAATAATACAGTAAGAACTCCTGAAAGAAAGAGACAAAAAAGGAAGTATACCCATGAGTTCAGTGGCGGATCCAGCAGTGGGCGACAGGATAGCTTGATTATTTTACCACTCACTAATTTTGAATTTTTTATTAATTGATGACGAACACATACCACGATGCCAATTTTTAAAACGATTTCATACTTAAATTGGGATGTAAAAAAGGCCAAAAGACAGAGACCTAAAGACGAACCTTTTTAGCCGGAATGTAGTACCCAGTATAGAACAGCTATTCATGCTCAGTACATGAGCATGGATAGCACGAATGCTCTCATGCAGCAGTCCGCAGGGCCACCGACCCTTAGGAACCCCTTCGGTGCATGCCCTGATGATCCGAAAGGTCTTTGTTAATGCATGACAGCATAATGTGTTTCTGACATCGACCATAGGACATATATCATGTACTACTACAGTGGGAATGGGGTGCCCTGCCGGCTAGGGCCACCCTACATTTGTCAAAATTAAAAAAAAAAAATAGACAAAATATTGAAATTTAAAGTCTGAACGAGTTCCTATTCCGGGCATCTAGAGGTGTCACGATCATAATTTGCTTTGCGACTCCCCAGTATAAAATAGACTTTACAGTAGGTCCTTGACTAGACCTTTGCAACGCCCATGAGGGGAGGGGTGTCTAAGGGAGGAGCATAACTCCCATCGGGAGGAAGTCAATAATTTTGTAGAGGATCACTGAAAAAAAAAAAAAAAAAGCATTTTTCTCTGACATTCACTGTCTTCTTCATCTGGTAGATCTACAATTACTTTTTCTTCTTTGCCCACCTAATCCATTCTACAGCAAATTAATATGTTAAATTATAGTTTATACACAAATTTCTATTTATATACAGCACTGAGAGCAAAAGAGCCATTTATGCATATATTTCTTGGTTTTTCTTCATTCTCTGACATTCATTGTCTTTTTCACGTAGTAGATCTACAATTACTTCTTTTCTTTGCCCACCTGGTCCATTCTACAGCAAATTTAATATGTTAAATTTATTTATACACAAATGTACCATATATACAGTAACTCACTTCTAAGTGATTGTGGTTTAGCTTTGTAGTGCCTTTCTAAGTCAAAAGGAATATATTTCCTACCACAAGTTGGCCGATGAATTAAGGCAAATCAAATATACTTTTATTTTCCATACAATAATATAGTACAATATACAATAAGAATGCAAAAAAAATTGAAAAAAATACATTGTATGGAAGGAGGCTACAATAAGGTTCAATAGTGGTAAAGTAACAGAAAACTGTCTCCCATAGATGTATGATATAAACAACTGTCTAAAGCTCTGATATTCAACCCCTGGCCCGCGGGCCAAATGTGGCATGCCAAAGATTTTGATCCGGCCCGCGAAACATTGCTAAAAACAAATAATTTTCCGGCCGATATTTTGAAAAGTTTTTCTGATTAGAGCAACACCACATAGGCACCCCTACTCTAGCAATGTTTACAAGAGTGTGGCTTTTTTCTGAGTGTCACTGTACCTAGAGGCTTAGGGCGCTGGCATGCGGAGAGGTAGACTAATGGGGACAATAAATTAAATGGGACACTGATATGATGCGATGTCTAACCATTTGCGGCACCTGCAGGCTCGGGGCATGTTGTTGAAAACATTGCTTTGAAAACTTATTTTTGACTCTGAAAGGGCAATTTCCAGAAATGTAGAGGTATCTATGTTAAAAATGTGCTCACCTCAATCCCAACCCTTGGTAAGTGGATATTTTCGTGGTAGGAACATACTAGTGGCAGAGTAGGAGAACCTGGAGTGCAGGTTTCTTGTTTTTTGTTTTTGTTTTTTTCAAAATTCTAAAAGAAAAATTTAAGTCTAGAGTGACATTTCTGACCATCTAGCTAGAGGTGCCATAATCATAAATTTTCTTGCCTCAGTCCCAACCATGGTGGGGCTGAGGTAGTATTTTAAACATCTGTGAAAGTTGTTCCCTGGCCCCCTTCTATTTCGAATTCACCGCTATAAAGGAAAATGGAAATACACAATTTATGTTGACCCATCACTGGTCTCAACAAATCGGGACAGGCCCCTAGTTAGCTTAAAAAGGTTGAATACCAGGGGTCTAAAGCATAGTAATTGGGTGGTATTCTAATTAAAAGTAGATATACACAATTAAAATAAGTCAATGAACTAGGGCAGGGCTCCGGTGTACATTGCAACTTAACTGGTATCATTGTTGTAACAGCACCTCGCTGCATCGGACATAATTTTAATTTCCCCACCCAACCATCTAGAAACTTCTTCCCATCTAACATACTCAACACTGCTGCTACTCATTGGTGGCTGGTATAATTCTTGATGAATTATTCTGCCCCCCCCCCAATTCAATAATGCAGGTTTCATGAACATTTAATCCTAAATTAATAACAATAGCCAATGAGATCTCCCTTGTATCACTGTTCTATTGGGATCTTCCCTGAGTCTCATAAGTACAAATAACCGAAATCACATAAGTAGCCCCAAGATTCCAAAGAATTAGTTAGTATTTAGAATAATTTGTACTGTATAACTACAGTAAGTAGTGGACTTATGAACTATAAGAATAATAGACAGTAGTGTTTGAATAAAATTAAATCGTACAGTATACCTTGTGTTGTGTATAAAATTAATTTTATAGGAATACAAGGATAGTAATAATGCAAAGAACTTGTCTTGAACCATCTTAATCCTTTGCATTAAAATGGCCTGTCGCTATACTCGGATGAAGCAATGTGCCTGCTGCGTCATCACAAATTTCCAACACCCTATTAGTTAAAGGTTGACAAAACAATTGTTTTTATATACAATATATATAAAATGCTGTCAGGTCATCCACCTGTGTTCTGCTTACTTTATATTTTTTTTATTACATTTTTTATTACTTCTTTACTTGGTGACATTGCTGAATTTTGAAATGGCACTCTATTTTTATAAATGTTTCTTAGTTGTTTGTGTGGTTTTCATGTTGACTGGATCAAAATAAAAACAAATAATATTTAATGTAATTTACTTGCCTGTAGAGAAAACAACAATTGTATTTTCCCATAATCCTCTCTTTTTCAATGATTGAGTTAAGTTGCCAACTGCTTCATCCATACTAGCTACCATCCCAGCATATGTACTTCTGTTACTGTCTTTCATATATGCATATGGCATCTTGTAGTGGTCAGGCACTTGCAATGGTGCATGCACAGCTTGCAATGCCATGTACAAAAACAAAGGCTAAAAAATGACAATATTATCATGTAATATTTGTTTATTAAACTCAATTGTGCTGGCATCAACATTATTTTCCTATTCTAAACTGTGCAAAAACTTTCCAAAAGTGCATAGTTTTTTTTCACCGTTTCTGCAGTTTGTACGCAAAAGGTAACCCTTGTCTAGTAGTACTGTACTACTATTATGACTTGCATCTGTGGAAAAACATACAGTACAAGGTAGACACTCAAACCTATTGTTGTTTGTTGAATTTAAAACATGACATTTGTAGAAAAAGGAAATTAGAACTAAAAAAAAGTCACATTTTAAATTTAACATAATGATGTCATAATGTCTTTTAATGATTCTAATGTCACAAAAACTGAAATTATAATAGGAATAATTGAGCCCTAGGCCTATTTAAAGTCTTAGGGTAGATTAATGGATTCCAAAAATTTCATTTGGCATACATATCTGATATACATATATTACATATCTATGTAGATATGTCTAATTATACTGGTTATCTAAAGTTGGAATTCAGAAATGTCATTTCCAATCCACTTTCGGACAAAAAGCAAATATATACATGTCCTGATCAATTTGAGACCAAAATTAAGTGTCTATAACCAACGGAATGGAGATATGTATGCTACAGCGTATCTAGGGTCAAAGGTCACAAATATTAATTTCCAGTCACTTTTTGACAAAATGTTGCATTAGTTCAAGTAACAACATACATTCTGAACAATTTGAAGCCAAAAGTAGGTCCTTATGCCCAACGGTTGAGAGATGATATACTGCAAAATACTCATTTAGATTCAAGATATATAAATTAGAATTTACCATTAAGAAAATAACAACGCACCTATTACATTTGAATAATAATAGTTAAAATAGGTGGAATGAGTCAGACTCTAATATAAGAAACTTTGGACAATGGCTAAAATCAGTCGATTGGTCAGATATGTTTGAGACTCATGGTACTGTAGCTAAGTTAGATCTTTTTGATGACATTTTAAGTAAGGGATATGTTAACAATTTTCAGATTAAATTATATGAAATTAAATAGTTGTGATCAACCATGGATAACTCCACACATTAAACTATTAATCAAAAGACGGCAGAATGCATTCCACTTCGGTCACTCCGCTGTCTTTGTCCAATTACGTAACCAAGTTAAGTGGGAAATTAAATGCTCTAAATTAAGATACTATGAATATCACATGAAAACCTTAGAAAATTCAAACAAACGTATGTGGTATAATAAAGTTAAATCGTTATGTGGTAACAAGTCTTCCAACGTCTTAAAAATCGAAAATATGCAACTAGACAATGATCTTACAACAGCTAATGTTATTAACGATCACCTTGCGTCCATATGTCAGCAACTTCCATCCATTGCGACTAACTGTCTTTCTGTTTACTTTCCAGCCGGTCATTATCCATGACTTTGAAGTCTATACAGAATTGTGTAAAATAAAAACTAGTAAAGCGGTAACCTCCTGGTGATCTACCCCCACGTATTATTCGTGAATTTGCCTGTGAACTTAGTTCACCTCTTTCCAATATTTATAATTGTTCGTTAGTTGAAGGTTGTGTTCCAAAACATTGGAAATCTGGGACAGTTGTTCCTATCTCCAAACAAAAAGGTATCATTACATTAGACCAAGTTAGACCAATTTCGTTAATGCCCTTATTTGCTAGAGTACTTGAATATTTTGTTCTTGGATATTACAGGATTGTAAGGACGTATTAGATAAGCAACAGTTCGGAAATAGAAAACAAATATCGACTACTCACTATTTAGTCGACCTAACTCATCATTTGTACTTTCACCTCGATAGACACGGCACGAAAGCTAGAATTGTCTCTACTGACTTTAGTAAAGTGTTTGACATCATCGATAACACTATTCTTGTGCAAAAGATTATTAACTTAGGGGTAAGAAGAGAGATCATTCCATGGGTATGTGATTTCCTCACAAATAGGTGCCAAAGGGTAACTTTTAAAGGTATGCTCTCTGAATAGAAACCAATTTCATGTGGTATTCCACAAGGAACTAAATCGGACCTACTTTATTTCAGATTATGGTGAACGATTCTGTCATTAATACTGAACAAAGATGGAAATTTGTGGATGATTTGACAATTGCAGAAGTGTCTAATAAAAACAATAAGGACACAATACAAATCCAAATTAATGACCTTATCCGGTGGAGTAAAAATAACCATATGAAATTGAATCCCAAAAAATGTAAAACAATGAATTTTTGTTTTAGTAAGAAAGAACCGATTTATGATCCGGTTCTTATTGATGATAACGTCTTAGATACTGTTAAGGAAATCAAATTACTAGGTGTTATTTTACAAGATGACCTTAAATGGTCTGCCCATGTTAAAGCAATGACTACTAAAGCCTTCAGTGCGTTATTTATGCTCTGTCACCTTACCAAATTTGGATTTCCGATCCCTAAATTGTGAATGTCTATATACACTTTGTTCGCTCAATACTAGAGTATGCGTCTCCAGTTTGGCACTCATCTCTAAATTCAGTTCAAATCAAAGAGATAGAATCAGTTCAAAAACGTCCATGCAGAATTATTTTGGGCCAACAATTCAATTCTTATGTAACTGCATTAGAAACTCTTCGGCTAGAAAGTCTTGTCGGGGCTTTTACTAGCTAAATTTGGTAAGAATGCTTTAAGAAGCTTACCGCATCTTTTTAAGCCCAATAGGAATGTTAGCACAGGGAGATCTCTTCGCTCAAATGATAAACTTACCCAGTATAAGTTTTGGGAAATCACCCATACCTAGTATTACCAAAACTCTTAATCTGCAATAACTTGAATCTATGAAATAATAATTGATCGATTTAAATATATAACGTGCAAGTCTCAATTGTCTGAAACTTTCCTGTGATTGCTTTGTTGTCTTTTAGTACCGCTTTTTAATATTTTAAATTTTATAATTGCCCGTATTTTTAACAATTTTACTGTTTTAGAGCTTTTTAACTTTTATATATCTATGTATTTTGAATGTAAAATTTGGCACAATTCAGTTTATTCTGCAATGCCATTTTATTTTGAATAAACCAGATTTGAATTGAATTGAATGATCAAAAGATGCAGCATAGGATTACACCACACTATCAAATGGAATCTAGCTATGTACTAAGTTCTAAGGGTTCACTAAAATTGTAACTTGAAAGTACATTGATTCTGAAATACAGAGGGGCAGTTTCAGGTTTTTAGGAATACCCTACTAATTGTGTGCTTTTTAGCTAACTGATTTTGCTGATTGACTGTGCTTTTTATCATGGCTGAGTGATTGCTTTCTTCCTGATTGACTGTGTTTTTTTCATTATGCTTTTTTCGTGGCTGATTGACTTTTTCATTTTTTGGAGAAAAAGAAAATATAACGGACTTGTTAAAACACTCGTTTAGATTCGGGACATATAAATTTGTAATTAACCATTAAGAAGATAATTTAATGAAAATATTACATTTGAATAATAATAGTTTAAATAGGTGGCCTGATCAAATGAAAGCTGGCTAGTACTAGGTTCTAGGGTTAATTGTAATTTAAAAGTATAGGATTTAATTCTAAAATGCAGAGGGGCAGTTTCAGGTTTTTAGGAATACCCTGCTGATTGTGTGCCTATTTGCTGATTGACTGTACATTTTTCATGGCTAAGTGACTGCTTTTTTTCCTGATTGACTGTCCTTTTTTTCATTTTGCTTTTCATGGCTGATTGACCTTTTCATTTTTTAAAGAAAAAAGAAAATATAACAGACTTGTTAAAACACTCGTTTAGATTCGGGACATAAATTTAGAATTTACCATTAAGAATATAATATTATTACATTTCAATAATACTGTAATGTCAATGTTTAAAAATAATTAAAAACTTAACATTTATGGGAACGGTTTGGAGCTTAAAAATAGGTGCGGCTTATACACAGGTGACACAAAAAATTGTGATATTTCGTGTCCTAATTAGGGTTATACACCGGCTTATAAACCGGAATATACAGTAACTAGCATGTTAGGGTGTGCTTTAGATTCTTTTTTGGAGGAAGTGCAACCCTACTACTCGTTTTTCGATACTGCCTATGTCTACATCCATATCACTCTCATCGGACTCCATTTTTGAAATCGTGCTTTACTAGACTGTTGTTACGAAATCAGTAGACCATGGAGCACTATACAGTACAACTCTGACATCAATTTGGTTAATGAAATTTGTTTTTTCGAAATCAGTAGACTGTGGAGCGCGAATTAATTTTTCGTATACAATTCAGAGTGCAACTCTTACAGCGATTTTGGTGTCAATGAAATTGTTTTTTTGTTCGAAATCAATAGACCGTAGAGCTCGAATTACTATTTTGTATAGGGTCTACAGTTTTCAGGACGAAATTAAGTGGTCTTGTTCTTATCTAAATCAGAGGATTATATTTTTATTTGGAAATGCGTGATTTATTTCAGAGTAACTCCGCCAAAATTGGAGTGGTTGGCATGTTTGCAAGTGCATAACAATATATGAAATAACTTACCTTTGAAACATTATGATTCATAATGACATCATGAGCTTTGTCCGCAAAGATGAATGTACCATAGGTACCATTTAATGACTTTACTGCTTTATCATTATCTCTCATGTCAACTCCATAATGCCAGTCCTTAGGCACATCAAAACCAGGCATAGAAACACCTTCTTGTACATGAGTATAGTAATCTGCCTGACCTGTCAAATATCCTAGTAATTTATACAAAATAATTATAATTAAAGTCAGACTTGACAAACATATACTGTATCATTATTAAACATCATTTCTATAAACCCTTTGAATAGATAATGCTTATGCTGACTTTCCCATGCGATTGTGCAACTACAAGCAACTCAGTAGAACTAGTTACACAGAGCACTTATGTCGCAGCTGACTACTGCAACTACTAGAAACTGGTTACTACATAACATACTACATTACATAAAAACTGCGCCAAATCATATTTGGTCAACATAAATTCGTCATCGACATGCGCAGTACCATTTGAGTTGCTTTGAGTCGCTGGAAAATTGAACATGGGCAACTGAGAGCAACTGGCAATTTTCACTTGCTTTCATTTGCTTTTCAATCACAAGAGGTGCTTATTTCACCTTCAGTCGCGCGACTCTCAGTTGCCAAAGGTCAGTTGAGTTGAGATGATTTCAATGGATGAACACTAAAAAATATATAATCATAAAAAACATACCAAAAAAGGAGTCAAACCCTTTTCTTGTGGGCCAGCACTTCTTTCTAGCAAATCCAATATGCCATTTACCCACAATATGTGTTGAATATCCCAGAGACTTCAATCTTTGTGCTATAGTAACATCATTGTCTGGTAGGCAACTTGTCTGAGGACACCATATAATGCTATGTTGCAAGCCAGTATGGATCTAAAGAGAATAAAATAAATAATTTATATTTAGTGTTAGCTCAGCTGGCTGTGCCATTGTGTGTGTGTGCTGAATCGTAGAGATTAACCATAAGCGTCTAAAACACAGGCTTCTTAAAAAAATGAATTTTCAATTTGTTTTTTGTAATATTGTTGTGATTTGTCTATTAATTTTTATTTCAAAACAAACTTCAGAAACTCATGTTCTTGGTGGATCTTTATGACAGGGGTTTCAAAAGCTGCCGGCGTGCGACAGAATCTGCTATGTACATCGCACATGTGTCGCCTACTTTTTAGGCTGTGGAAAAAAAACCTAGGCTATCCATGCAGAGATTGTGTGGTTGTCCTTATATACACAGCGATACATGGCTAGGCCTAGATATACAGTATTTACATTTACTCAAAACTTACTTTATATTTACATTTACTCAAATCATAGCAATTGTCTAATGCTTGTTTATTTTAAAATCCGATGTGACACTGATGATGATGATAATTAATTATCTGTTTGATTGGTGATCTCGCCGCACTTGTTACAGTAGTGCGTGCTATTAAAACAACATCGTGGAACTGGGCTGACAATATAGCGAAAGAAGCGCAAGATGCAGCTGAAATGGGCCAAATTAAAATAGTATATGAAGCGACTAGAAAGCTATGCAATGACTTTCCAAAAAAGATTGGAATGGTAAAGGACAGGAATGGGAATCTGTTGACAGATGAACACAAGATCAGGGACAGGTGGAAAGAACATTTTACCGAAGTACTAAACAGAGAGGATCCTGAGAGAAGTTGATGATGAACAAGAGATGCTTGAGGGCATAAGTACAGAACCACCCACACAAGCCGAAATAAGAGAAGCCTTAAAAGAGATGAAGGCTGGAAAGGCACCAGGGATTGAGAGTATCAATGTTGAACTACTGAGGGCAGGCTCTGTGGGAAATCATGGAATACCACCAAAGTCAATCAAAGTGGTCAAGACAATGTATGATGGAAGTCAATGCGCAGTAGTGGATAGTAGTGGAAGGGTTTGAGGTAAAATGAGGAGTAAAACAAGGTTGTAATATGTCAGGATTCCTCATCCTACTTGTCATTGATTGGGTAATGCAGAAGACGGTATCAGTTGGGAAAAATGGGATCAGATGGAACTTTATGGAGCAATCAGACAACCTAAACTTCGCAAACGATATTGCCCTACTATCAAACACAAGAAGACAGATGCAAGACAAACTCAATCATTTGAATGAACATGCAAAATCAATTGGGCTAAAAATTAACATAAACAAAACTAAAGTGATGAGATTGAATGAAAAAAGTAAAGAGCCAATTATCATAGAGGAGAAAGAAATTGAGGATGTTGAAAAGTTCACATACCTTGGAGCAACAGTCAGCAAAACTGGTGGTGCAGGTGAGGCAAAGGATTGGAAAAGCCTGGGGTGCATTTAACAAGCTGTCTAAGATATGGAGGAGTGGACAATTAACACACAGAATCAAATTCAAAATTGTCCAATGTGATCAGTGTTTTATTGTATGGATGTGAAGCGTGGAAGATGACTAAAGGTGATGAGGATAGACTAGACACCTTTTTACGGCACTTTTTTTAAGGCACTGAAAAGAATATTGAAAACATGTTGGCCAATGCAGATTACAAATGCAGAAATCAGACAAAGGGCAAACATAGTGAAATAGTAAGAAACAGGAGATGGAAGTGGATTGGACATGTGCTACGCATGGAAAGAAATGACATACCAAGAGTTGCTTTAACATGGACACTAGAGGGCAGAAGGAATGTGGGAAGGCCAAGGGAAAATTGGAGAAGAAAGGTGGAAAAGGAAAGAAACCAACAGGAATACCAATCGTGGGCAGAGGCAGCAGTAGCACCTGAAAACAGAGGAGCCTGGAGGAGGAAAGATGCTAGAAGCCCTATTCTCCACTCGGAGCCAAGGAACTACAGCTCTATTTTCACTAGGCCTAGGCTTAGCGCCTAGAAGAAGAGGCTAGCTATAGAGTGAAAATACAGAATATAGGTTAGTACAGTCTAGTTAGGATATGCGATCCGTCCAGTTCCAGCAATTAATTATCGTGGATAGCCTACACATTGTTTACTTAAAAGGATTATTTCACCATACATCATAGGCCTAGTAAATTGTACTCAATAAAAACTTATGATAGATAGAGCAAAACAAAATACAAACAACATGTCACGTGACAGGGGCCGACTGACAATTGTAATTTAACTCCTGGCCTATCCTATAGGCTTGTCTACCAGGAGTAGTAGTACAGTAATTACTACTGGTATATGGTAATTTTTAAAGCTTTAAAAAAATCATTAATTTTTTTTTCCAGATGAAGATTTCAGCGATCACAATGATCATGTAGCTGAAGATGATGTCCAGCCACATGTTGAAGACCAATTGGCTGAGGGCCATTTAAAAAAATGTAATTTAATATGTAGAATGTTAATTACTGTTACTTATGTAGGATTGTTCTTTTCAATTATTAAAATTATATAAGCTTATATATATTGCAATGATTTGATTATTATACAGTAATATACAATCATTATAATACAAATATTTATAATATATTATTATTATTATTATTATAATATTATTGTAATAATTATTATTATAATTAAATACATAATATAATAAGTTTTTCACTGGATTATTAATACAGACCTAGCCATATTTGTCCAAAAATGTATTTCAATGCTTTTATTTATTTGTTTTATATTGTTATTTTTCAGGTTCCAACTCATGATAAGGTTGTAGCTGATTATATCCAGGAGCAACCACACAAATGATATGCAACATGTACCTTTATATACAGTACTTCTATTTATTATTTTCTGTGAAACAGTACTCCAGACCTGTTACTACAATAAATACCTACCTTGCAGAAATGAAATGTTTTACTGTACTTCAGTAATGTCATGATATCAGTCATTTTGGATTTTTTTTAAATAATAAATTCACTTTACAAATTATTACTTTTGTATTATATGTCTGTTATATAAGTACAGTATGGTACAAATCAACATTATGACCAGCTGAATAAAACCAAAAAATTTTACAAACACAACATCATTTTGTTTAATAAAATATATCCATAAACAGAGCTCCAAGAGTGCAAGAGAGGCCATTTCCAGGCATCTAGAAAAAAAAATTTCCGGACCACGCCCCCACCCCTCAACTCTGAACTTTGAGGATAAATGGTGCGCCTGCTACTTTTCAGATTCAGCCTCCTACTTCCAAAACTTTTGAAATCCCTGCTTATGATATATGCATATTTGTTTTTAATGGGAAATCTACTAGAACTTTTTTGTTTTTCTGAAATTAAATAAATTTATGGAGACATAATTTTAACTAAACAAAAACACAGTAGGCCTATATCATTGAAAACCTAAATGCAAATACAGTAGGCCTATATCATTGAAAACCTAACTGAGTACTCGCTGTACAGATTTTTTTTATCCCAAATTGTGTTTAAGCTTGATCTGAAATGATGATATACTGTAGTGTGTAAAATAACAAGCTGACAGAATGTTTCAAATTACATGCAGCCACAAGATTTTAAGTTTTAAATACAAACCTGGTATTTGCCTGTCATAAGCTGGCTCCGTGTTGGTGAGCATATTGGTTGCACATAGTAATTCTCAAGCTTCACTCCTTCAGCAGCAAGTTGATCAAGGACTGGAGTTTTGATAGCTGATCCGTGATAACCAATGTCATGGAAACCATAGTCATCAGCCAATATAAATACAATGTTAGGAGGTTTTGCAATCACATGATAAACATGACTGCTTAATGCTAACAATAAGTAAGTCAAACAGTATGTCATTTCATAAACCACCTTTGTAAAGTAGATTTTCAAATCTGAAAAGAAACAATCAGTCATTGTTTTCAGCATCCTCGTACATCCTCGACGTTATTAATGTCAATAGGGACTGACGTCCCTGTATATTTTAAAATAATAAGAACACCCTTACTGAGGATCATCACTCATAACAGAATAACTATTATACAATTATTGACTGCTTATGAGGGGAATGGTAAAATTTTACTTTTCCCTGAATATAGAGCAGTCAATATTTGTTTTATATACCTCATAGATTCTATGAGGCCTAAAAAAGTACTTACTTCCTAGCCTGTTATATTAGAGGCATACTAGGCCTACTATTACTATGCGACTAGCTAGGCCTAGTAGGCCTAGACGATCAAAGAGTGTGTCTAGCTCTTCTTTGCTCATTTTCTCAATTTCAACAGCACCCATCGTCTTGCAATATATTGTCGAATATTGATAAGACATAATTAATTTGTCTTCTGGTGCTTTTGCTATCGGCTTTATCAAGAAGTAATGCTAGGTAGGCCTAGGATAGCCCTCTATCTCGAAACGAGCAACCTCCATATCTGTTTTTCGTCTACTCGCCGATCTGTGACGCGGTCAGGGGATAATCTCGTTGTAGAGGTCGCAGCCCCCTTTACCCTCAGCAGCGCGATGTAGTGGGCTTAGAGTTTGCACATCCCTACAGATTAAAAAAGTACTATTTTTTAGGGGAATAGTACTTTCTATTGCCCCGCTTCTTAACCAATCAGATGCAAACCTTCATATTAACAACTCCACCTGTATTGATGGGCAATCAATGGAAATACAGAACAAAAAAATAATGTTAATGCATATCCACACAACACAATGTAAATTTGGATATAAAATTACTATTGACATTTATGTTATAACTTTAGCTGCCAGGATAAAATTCCTCAACCAGATAAATACCACTTATTTTTATATTTTTTTACAATATTCCATTATTCCTTTTGTGACTCACTATACAGGGGCGGATCCACGACTTGAAGCAAGGGGGTTCAAAATTTTTTTTTTAAGTACCCAAAAGAAAGGGGGGGGGGGGTCAGTGGGCCCTGTATCACCCACTAACGTAATAATCAACCACTAATGTAATATTAACCACTAATGTAATAAAATTCAACCACTAACGCACAATTAACCACTAACGTAGTAACACTTTAACCACTAACATAATAAACTTCATTAACCACAATGTAATAAAAATCAACCACTAACGTAATAACTTAGGTTTTTACAAAAAAAACTAAAAACGTTGGGCTTTGAAAAACATGTTGATTGTTTTTAACTTTCTTTACAAGAAAACGTTGGAAAACTGTTCTCTATCTGCATGACCAGCGGAACCGGGGGGGCCCGGGCCCCCCCACTTTTTTTTCAAAAAATAATGTCTGGAGATTTTTGTGTGACCGGAAAAAAATTCTAGACCTACCTTTTCAGGACCCGTGAGCTGATTTTTTAAATTTTTTTATGTTACAATCAGAAAATTAGAATTTTGAAGAACATAAAAGTCATTAAAACACACTTCAAATGTCAGGAAAGCTCATTCCCGCTTTCTACGAATTAAAATTTTCCCGGGGGAGAACCCCCG